CTTTTTTTTCGTTATTAATCTTGAAAGAGGAAAGAAACATTCCAGTGTGCCTGTCACTGTCAAAGTAAAAGGCAAGAACTCACAGCCTGTTCCTACTCCTTTGCTTCCAACATTCTTAACACCTCCACCTGACAGACAAAAATCAGCATTGTGGGATTGGGTGGAGCTGTGGTTAGACATTATTTTTATCTGCAATATTTTTGTCTATTTTGTCTCGCATGTGCGTGAATTTGTTTGCATGAGAAGCTGCCCTCTGCCTCGTTCCTTTATGATTTTATTTTTAGAGACCCCTGGCCCGTTATCAGACATTTTTAACCAAACTTCTGGCGTGTCTGAATACAGGGGATTTGGCCACACAGCACTCGACAAGTGCAAAGCCTAAAAAATAAAATCTGTTAAGGTTATTACGTTGATTAAACAGATTGGCCACGCCAGCAAGGATTGCACGGCACACTTGTTTGTGAGTGGAACAAATAGATCACTTAAAGGTAAATAAACATATCAATGCGCACCGAATCTTGTTCGCAGCTAAGCAAATAATTCCAGAGTGAAATGTTAGTGGCGGGGGAGTTAGAGGTCAGATTTATCCCCGCTCGTGACCTCAAATGTTTAGATTACGGACATATCGGCGGAATGCCCGGCTTCCCGGAGATTGCAAAGGGCACATTCTTGAAAACATGTTGTGTATCAACAGGGGCCAATCGCTGCGGAGTATCTACGCTAGCTCCTGCGGCTCATGGCACTTGCACTCTACTCTAGAGCAATGGGCTTGTAAAAGGACAAAATCTAGCATTAAGTTAGCATAGTCGAACCTGTCCAAGACGACCACCCATTACCGAAGAGAAAAGTGGTCATTTTAGACAGGTGGTCCTCTTGATGTCATTATGATATAAGAAAAAAAAGCAAAGGAGGGGGTGGGAATTGGTCATTTGTACAGGTTACTGCCTTGGGGAGGTGGTCGTTAAATCAGCTTCGGCTGTACAAACATGCCTGAACTATTTGAAGTTTACAAACGTCCTACTTTTGTCTACTGCCTTAACTCTTTCGAGACGAAGTTCTATTCTAAAAAAGAATATTTCTTCGCGCATTGCCAATGGGTTTTTTTTTTATAAGATAGAAACTAACCCTCGTTTTCTCTGTAAGGCGGAAAAATTGCTAGAACGTTCAATTGAAACAAAGATGAAAATAGTGAAGAATCCTGATGACAATTACAGACATTTCAGAGGTTTGGTGATTTGGAAGTTGAATAGATGGAGTTAAGAACACAAAATAAATTTATCAAAAACCGCACTGAATAAAGATGGCCCATTGAAGTACAGTAAAACAGTTTATCGAACGTACACGGCTTAAAACTGTAAGTGGTTTTTTTTCACGTCCCCATCGACACAATTTTGATAATTTTGGAGGCAGGCATCCGACCCTGCCCGGCTTATAACATGCTTGCGGCTGTAACGTTCATTTTCTGAAGCACCAATACAAATGTAGCACCATTATTAAGTATTTTTAGCACTTTGGGTCCGTAAGGGGGTACGTTATATCGAGGTTTTACTGTACTTTGAAATCGTTAAAAATTGGGACTTTTACTCTAAAGTATACCTTCCAGATTTACAGACACACCCCTCCCTAAAGGACCCTGATCAGACGTTTGAGATGGTTTCACATTTTGATAGCAACAAAGTCATGTCCTGCTAAACATTGCCGGTGGGTGGTTGGCGGGTGCTCTGGTGTGGTGTGCTTCTTCTTTCCTATCAAACATCTATCGTCCTTATCTCCCCTCCTTCTTTTTCATGTTTGTTACTCTCTTGTAACACCTCTAATCTTCTGGCGCTCATATGACCTTATGCAGTTGCGAGCGCCGTAAAACCCTCTACTAAAACAAAAAACAAACAAACATTGCCGTTCTTGTTAGAATTAATTGTACATGTGGTCCCTTTTAAGCGCCTGCATTGCAATGCATTGTAATGTGTTTTTATCCATTAAAATTGTGGCTTTGGTCTCAAAAGACCACCTAGTGTTTGTACAGTGTATTTGGCCTACATCGTTTGTTAAGTTCATCAGTGACTTACTATACGTTACGTTTGAAAGTGTGAGCTTTTAAGGTATCGCAATCGTTTTTTCCCATATGTGAAAAGAGAAAAAAGAAACTTTAAAGCGTTAACCCTCACGCACATTGGAGATGTGTTTTTCGGGCTCTTGCAAGCTACCCAGAAACTACAGTTTTGATTGGGGATGATCTGTGGGCAAAATGAAGCGGTGTGGAAACATTAATAATCACTTTCGAAGGCGGGAAGTGCAGGGGGACAGAATCTGATCCTGTTGTGAGTTGAGCAGACAAAGTGATTTTGCGAAGTCTAAAGGTTCAACATGCGTACTTAACTTTGACATCCT